GAGACCTACGCAGAATTTTCTTTTGAAAGATTCTGGACCTGAGGAAGCACCAAAGAGCCGGTCGTCTGGGAATTTATGAATCTTTTCTGAACCCAAAGGGGAAAACTCCTTATGCTGTGCCAACTGTTGTATGTCCGTTTGCTTCAAACAGTGGCTTAGCAGTAAGAGCGCAAAGTCTGCCTGGAAGCTGTTATGTTCTCTACCACTAATGACAGGCCATGGTTTTAGCGGCTTGTATAAAACATTGCAAGGAGTTTATCCCATCTCCTGTATGAAATATTGGAGTGAAGAAGGCTTTTGGACGCTCTCTCTCTAAACCAATTGCTATGCCCAAGAATTAATAAAATCCATATTGAAGTGACAGCTGGTGGACAGGGCTGGCTTCTTCCTGCATCATTTGTCTCTCTAGTGGCTCATGTTCTGGGCTCAATGCACATTTATCCTTTTATTACAGCTTTTATTGATTTTTATTTATTTATTTATTTTTTAAATCTCTGTTTCCTTAAGAATCATACTTGTGCTGTTCAAAAATCTAACTTTGGTCATATCAGCACTAGCTATTAACATCGTTCTTTCCTATTGCTCTTTAATTACTGACCTTCCAGAGACATTCAGCTAATGAATTAAAAATGCAGACAAGTGAGAGTATATTTTCTCAAAACTTTACATGGCATCATGAACCAGTATCCAGTTTCTGTGCTACTTTGACTATTTCATATCTTGACAATGAATGTGAGCTCTTACTCTTTATCCGTGATTTCTTTGATTTTCTCCCCTTCCTAATTTATATGTATATTTCTAAAGCTGCCAGAAACTTTAGACTGACTCAGGACAACAGTGGAAAGTGTGTGTCACAAAGGCAGGGATTCAAATGAACGTTAGAGCAGAAATTCATTTGCTTATTTATTTATTCTGGTTTTACGTGGTAAGTGGCAAGAAGAGGCAAAGACCATTCTTTTCAAGGGAGAATGTTAACTGTTGTTTTCTAGGAAGTGGGGCTCAGTCATTGCCTCTGTCAGTCTAGTGAGTGATTTCTGTTTTGACACGCAGAGAAAAGAAAGACCAAGTCTGCCTTTGTCTTCTCCAACTCTGTAAGCTGGGTCATCCAGGTAATTACAGCTTTACTTAAGAAAGAGAGTGTGAGAGAGAAAATCTCTGCTGCTTGTAAGCACAAAGGCAAGACACTTGAGGGAATTAAATTGCATGATGATTTTTATAAGGCATCTGAATCATTTTGCATTCCACCTCTAAAGCAGAAAATGATGAGTTTAATATCATATCGTAGGATGTAACTTGTAAGTCTCTCAGAAGGCAGCTGTGGCATCCAGAGATGTTTGAGCCTGGTTATTCATTATTTTCTGCTTAAAGGCTGAAGCAAATGTGACTATGAGACTTCTAAATTGATTCCCATTCTTACTTGTACATGTTGCTACATTAGAAGCCATAACCAGGGTGGGTTCTGCTGTGTAGATACTGACAGATACCCCTGTGTTTTAACAGGAGGTAGGACTGGTTTTTGTTTTAAGTGTGTTTGTATGTGCTCATGTAAATGCATGCATACATTTATTAACCTCATTCTCCCATTAAAATTCTATCTCAAAGAGAAACAATTTCAGAAAGTCAACTCTCTGCTGATTTTTCTGAAATTCCCATCAGTAGGTGACATTATATATTTAATAAAATGTTAATTCAGTGATCCTGCCTAAATTGCAGGAGATCAGTAATTATGTCAAATTCTTCCAGAGAACTGAAATATGAAACTCTATTCCCTATCTTAAATTTGTAGTGTGGCAGGGGGTGAAACAGTTCCTACACGTAAAGTACTTATGAATATGTATGACTCTAAAGAGAGAGAAGAAACACCGTTATTGTTCAGGACCATATCTTAATTCTGTGAAACTTGTCTGCAAACAAATTGGCTACTACTTGGGGCACGAGGTGGCAAACTTTGAGTTTAATGTCCAAGTGACTGGGCTGCTATTGTCTAATTTAAGGCCACAATATCTTTGTGTCTGTGAATAAAGAGAATTTTTCCATTAGGAACCCGTGTTATATTAACAATGCACTGAATTATTTTGTTCTGTAATGAAGAATGCTCAAGATGTTTCCCTTTGATAAAATAATGAATGTGATAAGAAGAAAAGAAATGTGAAACACTGAAATACTGTTCTGCTCACACACAGCAGTGTCTGGGAGCAGTACATCTAGCTGGCAATTACTCTAGCAATGTTTAACAACTTACTGAATAGGATGGACAATTGCAAATTTGGACTATATTTAGAGGGCAGGAATATATGAAATAGAGTTCTTTGTATGTTCAGTAGGAGGGCAAGGAACAAAGACCAGAAAAAACAGTTGAATAGTTCTTGTGGGCTGACTTAGGAAATTAGTTTTGAAATACGTTGTAATGAATGACTGGATAAATGTTTTTAAACACTTGTCTGGGTGATGAGCTATCTGTTGAATGTCATGGTTTCCAAATAAGTGATCTGGAAGCTTAACCTTTAGGTGAAGGAGATACCTGTGAAGGACACTGTTCCCTCACAAATAACCATTGTAACCAGACTATCTGAAAATGGTTTTGATGATGAAAAAAGATCTTTAAAGAAATTTCAGCATGCCAAGAGATTATCTAAAATTTTCTGGAACACTTTCCTCAGCAATTTTTTTAGCAAGAATCCTATGAGTGTTTAGAAAATATTCTCTAATGATACTGTGTTAGACTGGATGACTTGATCAATTGAATACTAAGCTGAGGGTCACGTCACGCATGTTCTGCAGGTGAATTTCCTGCTGGATAGCCTACGGAAAGTTATCATAGTAATCTGTGCCTCTTTGTTGCTGTTTGTAGACACCTTCTTTTGGAAACAATTTGATAACTATGGATGAATAAGTATAATATGACGCAGCACAAATCAAACAGTGTACACCAGCACCTTTATTTGTATTAAGACACAAATGATACTAGTCTGTTATATAACTCACTGTGCTTCTCAATTACTTTATATTAGTAAATATGTCCCTATAAAGTATTCTGTCTAGTTCTTCTAAAATAAGTATGACTTAGGTCACTGACTTCTATGTGAAGGACATTCATGCTTTACAAATATCCAGTTTAACTAGATTATCTCCTCACTTCATCATCAAATCACTGTTTTGAGACCTACAATATGTTCTGTGTTATGGTGATATGCCAGGGTGCATCTGATCTCATCAAACTCTGTTTCTGATGGGGAAATTATCTTATGAAAAATAATATTACTCAATCTTGGTTTTAATTTCTGTATGCTTGGAGAGGAAGAAAATCCTATGTGGTATTTCATCCTGTCAATGCTAATCTTTCTCCTCAATGCTATATCTCCGAATAGCAGATGTGTGCTTTATTGCAGTGTTGGTCCTCTATAGCACAGCATAACATTTTGGCAGGAGCAAACAATTTATTGTATTAGAGTCAAATACAATCAAATGTTCCTTTTCCTATGAAGCATGGTCAGATATTGATATTGCATTAGCTAACATTTTAACATAGGAGAGGCTTAATAAGATACAGTATTACTCTCTCTAGGCCGTTTAATTAAACTAAACAGTCATTGTGTATTGTACATTGGTTTTCTGCCAAGGGAAAGTAAATCTGTATCATATTAGTTTCACGTACCAAATGATGTTCTCCCCCCATCAGAGACTCTCTAGAAGAGCTGACACTGCTGTCACATGAACTGCATAATACAAACTGTGTTTGTATTACATTGGACCGTCTTGTAGCTCAGTATTCTCCAGTAGCCTGAGCAAGCTTTGTGTGCAGAGAAGACATGTGGCTGGAGAGCCCCATGTTGTATTTTACTCACCAGGGTCCCTATTTGCCACCAAGGGGTACAGGGCTAAGTATCGTAACCCCTGTCCTGCTAACAGAGCTCTTCTCCATCCCCTTCTTGGGGCAGGGAGATCTAAACTGTAACCCTCTGGTCACTAGGAAGGCTCTTACTGGCCCCATGATGGCCAGGTGACAGGCATGGGTTTGTCACTGTCTAGTCACAGAGCACCATTTGTTCAGGACCAGAAGTTGCAAGAGTTCGGGGAAACTCTGGGTAATCCAGTGGCATCTGCTCTAGTAGCACTTTTTAGTACTGGATGTTGCCTTCTCACTGCTGTCAATGGCACTATACATGGTGATCAAGGTGAACATTCACTCTTTGCCGCTGATGGCAGGGGAAGTAGTATTGCCTATTATATGGTGTGAGGAAAAAGATGTGTCCCTGGACTGGAGACTTGAGCAGCATTTCCTTACAGAGCCTTCCGACACTGAATTGCCAATCCAGGAAGGGTAGGGGGAGAGCAGGCGCTTCTGTGTTAGGGGGTCCTGGTGTTTTCTTTTGAAGCAAGAGTTGATGCAGAATCGCGTGGGATCACAAGCAGAGGCATTCAAGGCACTTGCTTTTGGGAGTTGTTCTGTTGAATTACCCTACAAAGCAGAGTAAGACAAAAACATTTGCGGTGTTCCTCCTTAGAAACCGAAATAAACTGCACAGGAAATATTGAAGTCTTTTTTACACAATTTTGAGCCTGTCTTTCCTGGCAGAAGGGTACATCTGCATCTTGTGATGCAGAACTGTGCAGAGATGGCAAAGCTATGCCCAAACAATCATGCTCTAGAACTGGAAGGTGCATATTTCATCAGTGGCACTAAGCCCTGTATCAAAGCGAAGGATAATGCTTTGGCTCTATTTTGCACAGTGTCCTGTGCTGCATAAATGCTCCAGTCTTCCCAGAACAAGTAAAGAAATGTCTATCATGGTCCTGTGTTGCATCTCACATGCACTCACAAAGAGGAGTGAATAGTTGGATGGATCAAAGCAATGTCTTTAGCATGGCGCTCTGATGCTGGCACCATGGTTAGATTCAAGGATGGCAGTATTGGATTTATGGGAGGCTTCACCTACGTAACACAGTTATGATTTATCTCATGCTGAATGTTTTTATTTGTTGTTGTTTTCCCTCAACAGAAGATTAACCTGGAGTTCTATATTGACATCCATGCCCACTCTACCATGATGAATGGCTTCATGTATGGCAACATCTTTGAAGACGAGGAAAGATTTCAGCGACAGGCTGTTTTTCCCAAGCTACTCTGTCAGAATGCCGAAGACTTCTCTTATGTAAGCAATGTTTCTCTTAATTTTTTTTCCTAATTTATTTTTTAGTGCTAAATCTCTGGCTTAATTGGATTGTGTGAATTGTATTTTAATATGACTATAAGCTACTTAAAATTTTTGTCATTATTATCTACCACCTTCCCTCGTATGTTATCCAAAAGTGGTAAGTTGTGATCTTATATATTGTCATTAGACACATGAACAGACATGGGTTCTTCATCTTCTATGTTGTAATCTTTGGTTCTGAATTATTGGAACACTTATTTTTTTAACAGAAGATCTTTTGTCTTTTGATCAACGGGATCAGCTTTATTGTTTTATTGTTTATATTATATTGGCACATTTTTTTTAGTTGTACACTTTAAATAATATAATAGCAAATGGAAGTAAAAATAATAAATTTGAAATAAAAGGTTAGATTATTTTCTGTTGAAAGTTGTGACAAAGGCAATCTATGCTTTTTAAATTCTTTGATATCACCATAAAAAACTATTCTACAAGAGAATCTGCAATTGCTCAATACATGTCTTGTAACTTGGAAGAAAGTATGTGTGTAGGTATCTCTGGATATTGGAAATAAATGGTAAACTCCTATAAATGAGTTGGAAAGGGGCATATGTTTTTAGAGCAAGTTTCAAATAGACTAGAACAGATCGTTAGCACACATAGGTTGCAGTAGCTCTGCAGAAGTCAGTAGATTTAAGACTCTGGTCCAGTGTGTTTCAGCTTTGTGTCCAAGCATGACATCCTGGCCCTTTCCATAGTGTCTTTTGTGCATCAGTTTTCCTTGAAAGCTGTGCAAGTAGAACACACAACGCCCAAGCCTGCCTGCAACTGCTTGTTTGCTTCTCCTGGCCCACCTTAGACACCTGTGGAGCTGCCACCTAAGCTACTTCTATACAGCTATCCCTTGCTCTCTTTCAAGCTGTGCACTCTATGTTTGCTTAAGTGGACAGTCTTTCAAACAAAGAGGTGTTTGGTGTCCCATTTTGCTTTGACTGGGATAAGGAATATTCAGAAATGCATCTCAGCCAAGGCAGTGGGAACTTCCAGCCATGAGCTGTGAGGAGGAAAAGCAGTGGATGACATTTGGCAGCTATATAATAGGAACAGGCTCAATAAAGAATTATTTTGGAATCCTCCACCAGGCAGAGAAGAGCAGAAGAACCTACTGTTTGGTCCCTGATTTTGTCTTTTATGTTCTTAACCGTCTTTGTTACCTACCATAGGTTTTCCCAGTCTCTGCTGTCCCCTTTTTGCTTATACTTCATCCTCCTGGTACTGAGAGATAAACCTGAGTCTCCTCTCAAAGATGGGGACATCTGGGGCATGGTGTCTGCCTCCTCTGCAGTGCCATCCCAACCAGCTTGTGGCAGAGGTGGTGGGTAGAGGGGGCTAGGGACCCTGCAGCATTCCATGTGTTTAGCTCTAGAGAAACAAAATCTAAAAACAGATACAAAAGCAGACGAGTCTGCAGAGCAAAAGAAACTGTAATTGAAAAAAAGGCCATTTTCATCATGGCAAGAATGCTAGCCTAAAGCTTTCTCATCGAGATGCAGTAGAGAATTTTTTTGTCTTGTTTTTGTGCATATTGCACTGTGGAGTTTGAGTGGGAAGTGAGTATAGAAATGGAGTTGTGCCACTGTTTTCTTGACAGATCTGTTCCAGCAAAAGGAAGGAGGAATCGAAACCTCCTGATTCTTGTCTGTTTCTCTATCCTATGGTAGTTTGTTTTATGCAAGAGTTGGAAGAAGTTTGGATCAGTCTCTGACTTCTCTAAGGCTAGGCAGAAGATACCCTTTGCTCTGTCTTTTCTATTCCCAGGAAGGGGGCCTCTAGTAGACCGAACATGTCCCTTTTCTTCTTGAGATCAGCAGTAGCAGCTGGCCCAGTAATGCCTGGGAGGATGCATGGATGCTGTTGCTTCCTCTGTTGCCTCATAGTATTGTTTAACCATTGTCTGTATGTCTTGGGGGTTCGGGGGACTGTTGCAGTGTGAAGCTTTCTTCAGGGCTTCTTGGAAAACTGTCCAGAGTGCAGAAGACCAAATCCATACAAAATGAGGAGGGACAGCAGTTGCATCTGTTCCCAGCTGCTTGGAGCCTGGGGAACAGGGAGTTGGGTTCAAGGAACAGCCAGTTCTTGTCTAAGAAGACCTCAGTGATTGAGTTTCTTATCTGCACCTGGTTGTTTCAAAACCACATTATAGATAAGAGGGCATTCGCAGATCATAGTAATGAAAACCTGCAAATGATAGGGGTTCAGAAATTTTGTGCTCAAGTGTGGGATTTCTCTCTGTTACTGTAGGAGATTAAGTATTCCTTTTAGCGCAAGCCTTGGTTGACAAAGGGAAAATCTTTGCGAAAATGATGTAGGAAATAGAAGCCAATAGCTAAATAAACAGTGCAGTCTCTCCCCTTTGACTCTCAGTCGCCTTTCTGTAGAAGCTGGCAATGGGATACGTACGTTGGCATCCAGTGCACCACAGTTTGACCTAGGTGCTGCTGGCACTCAGTACATCTGGCTTTCAACTCACATCCTACTGGTCTCTTGAGACAGGAAGCTTTTCCCCTGCCATCCATCCAAGCCATTCTTCTCAGGGCAGCTGAGGGGATAGATGTGTTGGAAACAGAGACAGCCACAAAGTGTCCGACGTGTGTGAAGCAAGAGGAGTGGATATTACTGCTGTCTCCAAGTGGGCAAGTCTCTGTTCTCTTGTTTTCAGCTCCAGCCATGTGGGTTATTTGACTGGTTGGAAATATCAGGGGTGAAGTTTGCTGCTCGAAAGAGAGGAAAGGAATCCAGAGCTTCCTGCATTTAAAAAGGGGGGAAAAAAGTGTTGAAGATTAAAAATAGTGTATGTAAATATGCCCTATTGACTGCTCAAAGGGAAGGGGGGAAGTGCATCGTTAACATTACCAGGCTGGTGTTTGAAAGTGTGGGAATGGACCACTGTTGTTACTAATTAATTTTCCAAAGCTTCAGGAGGTCTCATTTACATTGTATGCTGCTGCGGCCATTTGTTGGGATTATAATACTTCAACAGCAGCACTTCAAGTGAAAACTGGCGGCTGCATGAAGTGTTGTCCATAATTGACTAGCTCCATGTCTTCACACAGCACAGAGACAATGTTCCATTATGTTATCCATTGACAGTATCATTGAAAAGATTACTCTCCTTAAAGCATCTGTCAACCTTGATTGATTTACAAGGGACAAAGAACTGAAAAGGTTTGAAGTGCGGGTACAATTTTTGCCACCGTTTAGCATACATAATGGTTCTCCTTTGATGTCAAAAGCTCATCTTCTATTAATAATGCAGAGGGCTTTTGAATGCAGGCTACTTGTATGGAGTTCCACACTAATAACCTACTTGCTGTGAAATGGGATTCACTTTGGAGAAGCAGTCATTTGTCTGGGTTTTACATGTTCAGAATGAATCCTGACTCAAAGGGATTTCTTTCAGTGCTCTGCATGATTGCAGCTGAGCCCGGCACGGGTTAGGGAAAGCAGGCAAATCCTAGCCTGCTCCTCCAGCCGAGAATCTGGCAGAAATCACGCAGCCAGATGCAAAGGAGCATGAACAACAAGCCTAAGACGATGCGATCAAATGCCTTGTGCCGTTTTGTCTGGCAACTTTCTATTAATATACTTTAGAGTGCATTTCATGCCTGGACTGCTTTCTTCACCTGTCATTTCCAATAGGCCTTTTTATTTAAATGACAGCATCCAAGGGAGATTGGTGATTAGAGTAGGGGATGGATAGGGGATTTGAGCCTGCATGCCTGTTGTAGGACCAAAGGCAAGTCACCCAATGTCTCTGTACCCTATCTGTTGAGCAGAACACTTAACCTCACAGCACTCTGGAAGGCTGACTGTGGTTTGCAGGTGAAAGTTGTGAAAGGGACCAGAAATTCTTCATTTGTACATGATTTCAGAAACAGAGGCCTGCCTTTGGTTTAGCTGTCAGCATGTGAAGAGGAAAGTGAAAGAAGAGCTAGGAAGTTTTGCTCCCAAGTAAATACATGAGACATTCTTGGGCAGCTGTTTGGGGAAAAAGGACAAATTCTGCAAGGAAAATGTTTTATATTTTCAAGGTTTAAGAGGGATATTTTTAAACATTGGGGAGTAAATATAATCTGTATGAAAGCTCTAACAGGGAGAGCTGACAAGCTCTTTTGAAAGGCTGACTCATTGGGTTTTAGGAGCAGCTGTTGACACCATGTCTGAGTACCTTACACATCAGCCATGGCTAGGAGTTGTTGCAGTATTTGGAGGGGTGTTCTTCATTTGACCTTTCGTGTTCTGGAGAGAGGATTAGTCATACCAACCAGACACAAGCACTTGAGCATTTCAAGAACCTGCTAGTCTTAGGGGTGGCTAATTTTGACCTTTGTGACAGTATGAGAGGAGACCATCTGTTCTCTCTGGTTCATTTAAAGGAAATAACCACAGCCATTCTTGGATGGCTTTATCACTTTGTAAAGATTGCTTCTCTTTGCAGTTAAAGGAGAAAGACTGGCCAGAGGCACTTGGCTTAATTTTGTTGGTTTTTTTTTTTTTTTTCCTTTGGACTCCGAACTGGTGGTAGTTGGGATACCTTTGAGTTCTCATTTCATTTTCTTGTATTCAACCTCCCAGCAGAGCACCTTCCTTAGCAATACTGTTTGTCATCCTTTGTGTTCCGTGGTTAGCCAAAGACCCTGATAAAAACTTGGGGTCCTGTTATGTTGGGCACTGGGTAACTACTGAGAAAGTCCACAACTCCAAGAGTCATGCTGGGAAAGAGACAGAGAGTAGGCAGGAAGTGACTCGCTTGAGGAAATCGGAGAATAAAACCCAGGTCTCCAAAGTGCCAGTCTGGTTTTTGTCAGCAGTTCCTTACATTTTACACCATGCTACACACTCAACAGTGAAGTCTCTGAACAAGCCACCCAGTTTCCTTTAGGGAAACATGTTGTTAACCCCAGTGCCATAATGCTGTGACCTAAAACATATTTTTG